ATTCATTTAAGCTATGTGTGATGGCACATGCCTGTGAGCCAAGCACTCAGGAGGCTGAGGCAGGAGGATAACAAACTCCAGGCCAGCTACATAGTGAGTTAGAAGTGAGCTTGTACTATGTAGTGAGACTGTGTTCTTAAAAAACCAAAAAAGAAAAAACCAAAAAAAGAAAGGAATTTAATAAATAAAATGGATAGTATAGTATAAGATTTTAAAAATACCAGTGAGATACTACTGTACATATGCCAGGAAGGCTAAGTTTTAAAAGACTATGCTAGAGCTGGGGATGTAGGAGAGTTGTAAAGCTCACATTAGCATGTGTAAGGGACTCGATTCTCTCCCCAGCACCACACACAAAAAAGACTGACCATACCAAACGTTGGTAAAAATGTGGCAGAACAAAAACTCATATATTGCTGGTCAGGATGGAAATTTGTTTAACTACTTTGGAAATCCAATTTGACTTGTGTCCTTCTAAAAAAGGAAATTTGGACACACAGAGATACCACAGATATGAGTATACAGAAAAGACCTTGTAAGTACATAGGAAGAAGGCAGCCATCTGCAAGACAAGGAGAGGCCTCAGAAGAAACAAACCTGCCAACATCTTAATCTGGGACTTTTAGCCTCCAAAACTGTGAGATGTTTCTGTTATGCAAGCTACCCAGTCTGTAGTACATTGTTATGGTATCCCCAGCATACTAATACAATACCCCAAAGAGGTGTGTATATATTTCACAAAATGACATGAGATCATTAATCCATGTGGAATTTACTTTTGTTACATTAAATTTCCACTTGTATCTTTGTCTGTTTCTGGACTCTGATATATTCACATACATTAAGACCACACTTTAAATTATGACAGGTTTATAACATCTCTTAATAGAATGTAGGAAAAGAAGCTTTGATTCTTATTTTTTAGGAGAAACTTTGATTCTTGATTAGCTATGCTAAGTTAGTGTCGGAGCATTGGTTAGTGGATTTAAAGGGCACATATATGAAAGAATTTCCTTTATACACTAAAGTCAATGTTTTTTTTGCTTAGCTCTTTGGTTTGAAATAATTTAAAACTTTAAAAAGTTACAAGGATAGCACAGAAAATTCTCATATATCTCTTACCCAGATTCACTTACTTTTAACATTTTGCTTTTACCACTAATTTCCTTCTTGAGAACAGGTTGCAGATACATGCTACCTTATTTTTTAATGTTTTGTCATGTATTTCCTATAAATAAAGACATTTATTCTCTCTTGCATAATCAGAATGATGTTATAAAATACTGGACACTTCTCTCTGATACATTTCTGCAATTAGCAGCCAGAATTCCAATTGTATGAACCAACACTGTCTTTTACAACATTTTCCCCATCCCATACAGAGATCTACTCTTTTGTTTCCTTGAATCTGGAACATTACTGGATGTTGACATTGATCACTTGATCCAAGTTTTTTTTCCTCTGTGTAAGTTACTATTTTCTCTCTTGCAAATAATAAGCAGTTTGTACAGCAATACTTTGAGACCATACAAATACCTTGCTCTTCATCAAACTGCCCCCCCAATATACCATCCAAATCCATCGTTACATGATAGTCTATGACTCTCTCCTTATTTTGGAATTGGGGACCCAGCTGATTTAGTATTAGCAGTCTACCTCTTGGGAAAGTATAATGCTATGTCTTCTTGGGAGTAAGGTAATGGATATAATATATAATAATTTCTAATTCTATCGGGACAATCATAATTTGAAATAATAAATCCAGGATACTGCTAAACCTCTTGTTCCCCATTACTTTTGCAGGCATCAATGGCTATGTTTTTGATAGCCTGCAGTTATCAGTTTGTTTGCACGAAGTGGCATACTGGTACATTCTAAGTGTTGGGGCACAGACCGACTTCTTATCCGTTTTCTTCTCTGGATATACCTTCAAACACAAAATGGTTTATGAAGACACACTTACCCTATTTCCATTCTCAGGAGAAACAGTCTTCATGTCAATGGAAAATCCAGGTCAGTCATTTATATTATTCTTTCACTAACAGCTGTGATTGCTTAATTCGCATCTCATTGTTATTTTTAAATGCTTTTATTGGCTTGTGTTAAATTGTACATAGTAAGGAGTTTCACAATTATATTTCCATACATGCATATAATGTACTTTGATCATTTTCATCCCCTCTATTACTCTTTCTTATCTCCTGGTCTCCCTCCCCCTTTTCCCTTCCACCTTCCTGGTAGTCCCAGTTTTCCTTTCATAACCTATGGTTTTTGTTTTGTTTTGTTCCCCAGCCCCACAAATGAGAGGAAACGTGATACTTATCTCTGTGGGACTGGCTTGTTTCACTTAAAGTGATGATGAGCTCCAGTTCCATCCATTTTCCAGAAAAGGACACAATTTCATTCTTCTTACTGGCTTAGTAAAACTTCATTGTGTAGCTATACAACATTTTCATTATCCATTCATCTTTTGATGGACACCTAGGCTGGTCCCAAAATTTTGCCATTGTAAATAGAGCCATGATAAACGTGGGTATACAGGTTTGTCTACAGTAAGCTGACTTTGGTTCTTTGGGGTACATACTCAGAAGTGGTACAGCTGGATCATATGGGAGTTCTATGTTTATTTTTTTCAGTAATGGGATTTAAACTCAGGGCTTTGCACTTTCTAGGCAGGTGCTCAATCACTTAAGCCAAACCTCCAGCCCTTTTCAAAACTCTGGTTATTTTGGAGATAGGGTTTTGCATTTTGCTGAAACTGGCCTTGAACACAATCCTATTTTATGCTTCCCATTGTAGGTTGGATAAGAGGCATGTGACACCACACCCAGCTTTTTTTGTTGAGATGGAGTTGCACACACTTTTTTGCTCTAGCTGGCCTGAAACCAGATCTTCCCACTCTTAGCCTCCCCTGTAGCTTGGGATGACAGGTGTGCACCACTGCACCCAGTTATTGGTTGACATGGGATCACTCAAACTATTTGCTTGGGCTGGCCTCAACCTGCAATCTTGATCTCAGCCTCCCAAGTAGCTAAGATTACAGGTGAGAGCCACTCATGCCACACCTATTTTTAGTTTTTTGAGGAATCTCCATACTGATTTCCATAGTGGCTACACTAATTTACATTTCCACCAACAGTGTATGAGGGTTCCTTTCTTCTCCCACCATCTTCACCAGCATTTGTTGTTGTTTGTTTTCTTGATGATTGCCATTCTAACAAGACTGAGGTAAGTCTCAGTTTAGTTCTGATTTGCATTTCCTTTATGGCTAAGGATGTTGAACATTTTTCATGTGTTTATTGTCCATTAGTATTTTTCATTTAGAAAATGTCTGTTTTTGCTCACTAGCTTACCTGTGGGCAGGTAGTAAATAGTTTAAATGATTTCAACAAGTGATTTTGGTGATTGTAAAACATTTTAATGACAATACCAACTCAAGTATTTAACTTAAAAGCCTTTGCTCTAAGGGACTGGGGGGTGTAACTCAGTAGTACAGCACTTGCCAAGCATGCACAAGGCCCTGAGTTCAATCCCCAGCACTGGAAACCAAACAAATAAAAAATAATAACAAAAAAAAGCCTTTGCTCTAAAAAAGTGTTTTCATTTACCATAAGCCAAAATTTTAAGTGTGCAATGAACACGCAGAGCCATAAATGTTTCTGCGTACTTTATGAGCATTGCTGTTATTGGATAAATACCACCTAGCAGCCAAACTATTGTGAGGCCTTCAGAACAAATATGGCTCTCAGCTTCCCCTCCTCCATCTTCCTCAATAACCACTACAAGTTTAAAAAATTTGTCTTGTTTTCTTTTGTTTTTGAGATAGGGTCTCAAACTGATACTAAGCTCAAACTGGCTGTGTAGCCCAAGCTGGTTTCAAACTCACCATCCTTCCGCCTCAGCTTCCTAATAGTTATTCTCTTACTCTTTTGGTTGTTTTTCCTCACTTTTCCTTTATTGATCTGCTTTCAGTTCAATAATTCTTTACTGGGCTGTGTTGAGTCAAGTGATGAATTCATAAAATATAATTCAGCTATCTGCCTGCAGAAAACAGAAACTAGATCCATGCCTATCACCCTGTACTAGTATCAACTCAAAGTGCATTAAGGACCTTAATATCAGTCCTGAAACTCTGAAGTTAGTACAGGAAACAGCAGGGAATACTGTGGAAGCAATAGGTATAGGCAGGGACTTCCTCAATAGAACCCCAGCAGCCCAGCAACTAAGAGAAAGGATACACAAATGGGACTACATAAAATTAAAAAGCTTCTGCACAACAAAAGAAATGGTCTCTAAACTGAAGAGACCGCCCACAGAGTGGGAGAATATATTTGCTACCTATACATCAGAAAAAAGACTGATAACCAGCATATACAGAGAGCTCAAAAAACTAAACTCACCCAAAACCAGTGAACCAATAAAGAAGTGGGCAACTGAACTAAACAGAGCCTTTCAAAGGAAAAAGTCCAAATGGCTAAAAAACACATGAAAAAATGCTCACCATCCCTGGCCATAAAGGAAATGCAAATCAAAACCACACTAAGATTCTACCTCACCCTTGTTAGAATAGCCATCATCAAGAACACCACTGATGCACAGATGACATACGCAGGAATTTCAGGTGCTCAGGGTTCTTGAGCCTGCTCTGAGAATGAAAGCACAGATAGACTCTAACAGCAGAGGTCAGAAAGATTTTATTTGTAGAGAATTTATTTGTAGAGAAGAGAAGGGAAAGACTGCATATTGGAGAGTGCAGGGGGACCCAGAAACTGGTGATCCCCTGGGTCAAAGTGGGGAGTGGGTTTTATAGTCTTTTTGCATTGCCTGATGGTGGAGATGCCTTTCAGATGCAAACGGGCATTTCCTAGGGAGGAGAAGTGTCTCCTTGACCTCCTGCGGTCTGTCCTTCAAGTCCCCCCTCTCAGTGACCTCGCTAACTGCTGTTAGGAATAGGGACAATGAAGTCTGTTCAGTAACTGCTTCCTGCTGACAGGGGGCGATGAAGGGGCCCACAGCATCAGGGCTGACCATGAGAGGGGTCTTGAAGGGGACCCTGGTAGTAGGTCGTTTTCATCTCCACCAGAAGCATTTGTAGTTTGATGAATTCTTGGTGAGAAGAAACAAACTTGACAAGTAAGTTTAAAATGCAAGGCCCAAACACAAGCAAGAGAATAATGGCAACTATAGGCCCCAGAAAGGGTAGGAACCAAGTCCTGGAGGGGAACCAGGATTTTATTTGGTCCCATATCTGTGTAGTAGTCTGAGTTTCAAGAGACTGATCCTGGAGCCACTTAGCCTGTTGGACAATGTAATCTGCACGTTCCTCCACAATGCCCGAAGTGTTTATATACGTGCAGCAGGAAGTATTGGAGATGGCACATCCCCCCCTTGTTTGGCCAAAAGAAAATCTGGGGCCAGGCAGTGGTCCATTACCATACAGTCAAGGGATGACAAAGACCTTTGCATGTCCTTAATAGCAAGGCCTACCTGGTCTGAGGTGTCCTCTACCACTTTGATTAGGTTTTTTGCAGTTACATGGTTGGCAATTAGCACATAGCTGATTCCAGCCAAGGGCTGCAACTAACGCTGTTATCCCTAAAACAATTAAAGTAACCTTTCTTATTTCTATGGGAAGCTCTTCCTATTGTAGTTAGCATTTCTCTTTTCTTCCAAATGGCTGCACGAGCATGCAGGATCAGGAAGGCATACTTAGAATCTGTATAGATGTTGACTCTCTGTTCTTTTGACAGTCTTAGGGCTTCTGTTAGGGCCACTAATTCTGCTAATTGAGCCCTTGTATTAGGTGGAAGAGGACCTGATTTGAAGATGCCAAATTCTGTCACAACTGGAAACCCTGCATGTCTGACACCATTCTTGACAAAGGAACTGCCATCAGTGTATAGTTCTAGATCTGGATTTTTTAAGGGCCGATCAGTTAAGTCAGGTCCGGGCAGCATAATTTTCCATAAGTACCTCCTCACACGAGTGTTCAGGATTTTCCTCTGCCTCTAGTAGAAGGGATGCAGGATTTAGGCTCTGACAGGTCCTTAAAGTTATTTCTGCCCCTCCCAGAAGCTGGGCCTGATATTTAAGTAGATGGCTGTCAGATAGCCAAAGTTCTCCTTTTGAGTTTAAAATTCTCCCTAGGTCGTGTGGGGTATAAACCGTTACGGAATGGTTTAGGATAAGTTTCTAAGCTTTAAGCACTAGAAGGCTTACTGCGGCCATTGCCCTGAGGCATCCTGGCCATCTCTTGGCTACCTGATCTAACTCTTTGCTTAAGTAGCCTACTGGCTGTGGAGTGATGACCCAGAGCTGAGTCACCATGCTCAAGGCCAGTCCTCCCTTTTCATAAACATATAATTGAAACTTGTCTTGTACTGGGAGACCCAGGGCAGGAGCTGTCATAAGGGCCTTTTTTAACCTGTGGAATGCATTTTCTGACTTGTCATCCCACTCAATAAAGGGTTGGGTATCCTTCTGTGCTTACTTAAGGATTTAATATAAAGGCCTGGCTAGGTCTGCATATCCCAGGTTCCAAATTCTACAGTGTCCTGTGACCCCCCAAAAAGGCCCTCAGTTGCTTTAGAGTTTTAGGTAGAGGAAACATCAGGATTGGACGGATTCTGTCTTCTCCTAGAGCCCTCATTTCTTTCTCCAGGACAAGATCTAAATATGTAACCCTAGACTGACACAATTGGGCTTTTTCTTTAGAGATCTTATAACCTCTGTCTGCTAAGAAGTTTAGTAAGGACTCAGTGGCTCATGAAATGATAGGCTCACTTGGTCCACAGAGCAGGAGGTCATCTACATATTGTAGCAGAGTAGCTTGTGGATATTGCCACTCTGCCAAGTCTTGGGTTAGAGCTAACCCAAAAAGATGGGGGCTGTCTCTGAATCCCTGTGGGAGGACAGTCCAAGTGACCTTCTTGTGGGGTCCTCAAAGGCAAAGATAGGTTGACTTTTAGGGTGTAAGGGAATGCAAAAGAAGGCATCTTTTAAATCCAGGACAG